CTGGCAGACATTTCTTCTTTGCTTCCTGACCTTGCATGCTTACTGAGGATAACATGTTTTGAGTGGTCCTATCATGTACTCGGAGCAGACTGGGCTCCATTTAGCACTGCCGCAACTGCTCTATTTTGTCTTCATTTCTAAGATGAAAGGGGAAAAACATTAATATTTTAGTACTTGGAGTTTTAAAGGCCTTTGCAAATGGGCCTGCTGCCCTTTTCTACCTATATCTGTACTCCCCAGACACCTCCAGCAAGAAGATTAGAAGGAAAACAGTCTGATTCTCGATCCTGTTTATAGATTTCATTATTCACGGGTATTATTAAAATGTTCTCTCTTGGGATTTATTGGTCCTCCACTGCAATTCCAAGGGTCATGCTGGAGGACCTAAGGATTCCTAAAGACAAGATCTGTTTATTGGTTAGTCCACTGACAATAAAAGACAAAAATCAAAATACACAGACAAATAGATACTAGTCACTATGCTAAAATTCCTGTAATAGTTAACCAAAACAACTTAAAACACGATAAAACTAAATTAAATAATATATTTGGTAAAATGGGATCAAATTACAAGATGGAAACAGAGGGAGTAGGATGGTTCCCAACCCTTTTTTGACCAGGGACAACTTGATCAGGGAACACTCTCCAACATTAAGAGTTACGAATCAATTTTTGGTCGACTTTAGATTCGATTTGGTTATTTCAATTGCTGATTCAGAAAATTGCATTGGATAGACCACATCAGCTCTAGTTTCTGATACAGAACATACACCATCCAGTAGTTGCCATCTGCTCGCCCACAGAAAACCATAATTAAAATCTAGAGCTGATGTAGTACGAGGGTTATCCAGAAAGTAAGGTTACAAGGCAGGTAGCTCTTGGAGGAAGTTGGTATCATTACCATGTAGTGAGAAGCCAGCAGAAGTGAACGAGCTCTGCCAGTCATCAGTAACTCATCGACTGGCATTGTGGTGAAGCTTAGAGATGAGCGTCCTCATTCCTTTTCCCTCCAAGTGTGCAGTTCGTGCTGTATGAAGGTTATCTGGAAAGTAAGGTTACAAGGAATGTAGCTCTCGTGGGGAATTTTCTTAGGGGAAGTTGGTCTCATTGCCATGTAGCAGGAAGCCAGCGGAAACGAACGAGCAGTGCCAGTCGTCAGTAGCTCATCAACTGGCATTGTGGTGAGGGTTAGAGATGAGTGTCCTCATTCCTTTTCCCTCCAAGTGTGAAGTCTGTGCTGTATGATCATCCGGAAAGTAAGGTTAGAAGGAATGTAGCACTCGTGGGGAATTTTCTCAGGGGAAGTTGGTCTCACTGCCGTGTAGCAGGAAGCCAGCGGAAGTGAACGAGCAGTGCCAGTCGTCAGTAGCTCATCGACTGGTATTGTGGTGAAGGTTAGAGATGAGTGTCCTCATTCCTTTTCCCTCCAAGTGTGCAGTTTGTGCTGTTTGAAGGTTATCCAGAAAGTAAGGTTATAAGGAATGTAGCTCTCGTGGGGAATTTTCTCAGGGGAAGTTGATCTCACTGCCGTGTAGCAGGAAGCGAGCAGAAGCGAACAAGCAGTGCCAGTCGTCAGTAGCTCATTGACTGGCATTGTGGTGAAGGTTAGAGATGAGTGTCCTCATTCCTTTTCCCTCCAAGTGTGCAGTTCGTACTGTTTGAAGATTATCCGGAAAGTAAGGTTACAAGGAATGTAGCACTCGTGGGGAATTTTCTCAGGGGAAGTTGGTCTCACTGCCGTGTAGCAGGAAGCCAGCGGAAGTGAACGAGCAGTGCCAGTCGTCAGTAGCTCATTGACTGGTATTGTGGTGAAGGTTAGAGATGATTGTCCTCATTCCTTTTCCCTCCAAGTGCGCAGTTCATGCTGTATGAAGGTTATCCGGAAAGTAAGGTTACAAGGAATGTAGCTCTCATGGGGAATTTTCTTAGGGGAAGTTGGTCTCACTGCCATGTAGCAGGAAGCCAGTGGAAGTGAACGAGCAGTGCCAGTCGTCAGCAGCTCATCGACTGGCGTTGTGGTGAAGGTTAGAGATTAGTGTCCTCATTCGTTTTCCCTCAAAGTGCGTAGTTCGTGCTATATGAAGGTTATCCGGAAAGTAAGGTTACAAGAAATGTCACTCTTGTGGGGAATTTTCTTAGGGGAAGTTAGTCTCACTGCTGTGTAGCAGGAAGCCAGCGGAAGCGAACGAGCAGTGCCAGTCGTCAGTAGCTCATCGATTGGCGTTCTGGTGAAGGTTAGAGATGAGCGTCTTCATTTCGTTTCCTTCCAAGTTCATTACTTAAAGGGCATGAACCATTGTGAAATCATTTCAGTTTATGGAGAGAGAGGATGTAATGTCAAGACAGCATGTGACAAAATGGGTACGGAATATATCGTGAGACCATGAAGAAACTTCACAGAACCATCCAAAACAAACGTCGTGGGACGTTATCAGCAGGAGTCTGTCTCCTTCATGACAATGAGCGTCTGTCCGCACACTGCTCATTTAACATAAGAGTCTAAACTTCATTTGGTTTATTTATTAGGGCTGGGCGGTTTCGTTTCGTTAATTCGTAATTCGTTAATAATTCGTTAATTTTTTCAATTACAAAATGATAACGAACCATTCTGGAGCAATTATTAAAAAAATGAATTTTCAAAAACGTTTTGTAAATGCTTCGTATTTCGATATTGTATTCGTTTCGTTATTGTTTTGAGGTCGTTTCGTTATTATTTCCGCATGTCTGGGCCAGTTTTATAGTTTAATTAGTGAAAAAAAATTATAATATCACACCAACAGTCAACAACAGAGGGAGAGGGAAGCTTCAGAAGGTTTTGGAGGTTTTTTAGCGTATTTCGCGGTCGCGTCCGCCATTAACGAATCGATTCGTTATTGTTTCTGAAATCGATTCGTTAATTTTTTACCATTTACGAAATTTCGTAAATATCGAACTTTTTAAAAGGAAAATTTTGTAATTATTTTAAATATCGAAACAAAAAAACCCCCCAAATACAAATCGATTTTAGAAACAAATTTTTCCGTTGTTACCCAGGCCTATTATTTATTATTTAATCTTTTGTGCCTCTCCCCTCTTGACATCCCAGTTGCTTTAGCACTAGAAGAGGGTTAGTGTCGCTCTTGTTGCTGCGTTGTTTTGAGGCAACGGTGTAGTAATGGTGAGGCTGTGGACCATATTTTTGTTCTTGCGGGCCACTGGTGGTCCACGGACCATAGGTTGGGAACCACTGGGTAGAGTGACCAGTGTAAAAGAGTTGGTTGGAGAATTTGGATAAGTTCATCGCCATGACAAGGGACCCCATTTTGTGAGATAAAAAGTTCTCTCAGGTGGGTAGCTTTTATTATTTATTTATTTATTTACTGCATTTATTGACCGCCGCTCTCAGCCCTAGGGCGACTCGCGGCGGTGCACAACATATAAAAACAGTTTACAAAAGGGCAAAACAGGAAATCAATACAACAATAATACACTATAATCTAAGTTACACTAAATAATCCGCTCCGTCACATCATAGAATCATAACCAATACCGTAATCCGTATTCCGTTCCAGTTGTCAATTACCAGTTGCCGTAGCGCTCAGTTGAATGCCTTCTCAAATAGCCAGGTCTTCAGGCTCTTACGGAAGGACAGAAGGGAGGGCGCCTGTCTGATGTCAGCAGGGAGGTCGTTCCACAGCCGGGGGGCCACCACCGAGAAGGCCCTTTCTCTTGTCCCCGCCAGACGTGCCTATGAAGCAGGCGGGATCGAGAGAAGGGCCTCCCCAGACGATCTCAAGGTCCTCGTGGGCTCATAGGCCAAGATGCGGTCCGAAAGGTATTTTGGGCCGGAACCGTTTAGGGCTTTGTAGGATAACACCAGCACCTTAAATTGGGCCCGGTAGCAGATCGGCAGCCAGTGAAGCTGGAACAGCAAGGGCGTTGTGTGCTCCCTGCGTCCCGCTCCGGTTAGTAACATGGCTGCCGCGCGCTGGACTAGCTGAAGCTTCCGGGCCGTCTTCAAGGGCAGCCCCACGTAGAGAGCGTTGCAGTAGTCAAGGCGGGATGTGACCAGAGCATGTACCACCGTGGCCAAGTCAGACTTCCCAAGATACGGGCGCAGCTGGCGCACAAGCCGAAGCTGTGCAAATGCTCCCCTGGTCACCGCTGAAACCTGGGGATCCAGGCTCAATGATTCCAGGGTCACACCCAAGCTGCGAACCTGCGCCTTCAAGGGGAGTGCGACCCCGTCCAGCACAAGCTGTAACCCTATACCCTGTTCGGCCTTGCGACTGACCAGGAGTACCTCTGTCTTGTCTGATGGATTTGGCTACCTAGAGAAAACATTTTCAGTTTACAACACAATTTGACTATAGAGTCATGCTGGAGGAGTTACATATTCCTGGAGAGGGTTAAAAACATAGCAAATTCTTGCTTTGTTGCTTTTCACTTTCACGGGATTCCGGTGCTCCTAATCCCCAGTGAATGTGGAGGACTGACTGTATTTCTGAGCAAGCCCGACACAATGCACGTATTGAAACATATGAATAGATAAAAGGCATATATGTATTTAAAAGTAATATCCATAAGCATGCCCATAGGGAAAAGCTGAGTGAATGAAGCCGTTGTTCAAATCAGCACGCGCATGACTGCAAACACATTTTTGAAAACAGCCTTGACATACATTTCAGTGGGAAGAAAACACAAAGGCCAAATCCCAACTAGACTAGATAGACTGAATTTGTTTCCAATGTATTGCAACTTAAATTGATTTAATGAGCCTGATCTAGTCAGAATTGTGAATAGATTGAAGGTAAAGTCCAGTAACCTGATACAGAATGAAGACAGGGGAAAAAAAAAATACAAGCAGAGGTTGGTGAACTTAACTCAATCCTTAGACTATACATTCCTTTTTTTCCTGTCATTTACTACCAACAGGTTTGTTGATTTCTCCCCCAGCTGATCCTGAGAGAATACTCATAAATACATCCAGAACTCATTCTGTATTTTTCCTTCTCTGACAGATTGGTACAGAGGATATACGCTCCGGAACAAATCCAAAAAGGTATAGCATCCTCTTTCTCTCCATGTGTGTGTTTCTCCAAGAGTATGCTTTAAATGGAACTCTTATCTGATTTGGCTCTTGTTCCTCTACAAAGTGCTCTTGTACTGCTAGAATGTAACTTCCTCTTTCCTAAATTTACTTTCTTTGAAATCTTTTCAAAATTAGAAATATTTGCAAGCCAGACTGTGCTAGTTTTGCTATCAATTTCCAAATGTGTGAACTCTGATATTAGACGAAGGAGTGAGGATTGGGAGACTCTGGAGAGACATCGTTCCAGGATTCATTCTTAAGCTGTTTCTGCCTCCTTTGATTTTGGAAACTATCCTAAATTGTGTTCAGTGCTTGGTAAAACCTGGAAAATTAGAACAGCATTAATGGAATAGTTGGTATAATTGCCATGACAGAATGTTGTGGAATTCTGCGATTTGTTGCAGGCCCCATCTACACTGCCATATAAAATCCAAATGATCTGCTTTGAACTGGACTATATGAGTTTCTCTCTCTCTCTATATATATATATATATATAATTACACACACACACACACATACACTTTACTTACTCACTTACTTAGACGATCCCTCGTTGGCCAAGTAGGATAGTCTACCAGGATCAGTATTCTAGTGGGTCCGTAGGTGACTGTAGAGCCCTATTCTTGATCTGCATCCCGCAGTGAGGGCATCGGTTTCCAGGTGGAAGGTGGTCCCGGTTGGGGTTGGCTTGACGCGCATTCCTCTTGGCATGTTTCTCTCTTTCACCCTCCATTCGTGTCTCTTCAAATTCTGCAGCACTGCTGGTCACAGCTGACCTCCAACTGGAGCACTCATGGGCCAGGGCTTCCCAGTTTTTAGTGTCTATGCCAGAGTTTTTGAGGTTGGCTTTGAGCCCATCTTTCAATCTCTTTTCCTGCCCACCAACATTCCATTTTCCATTCTTGAGTTCAGAGTAGAGCAACTGCTTTGGGAGACGGTGGTCGGGTATCCGGACAATGTGGCCGGTCCAGCGGAGTTGATGGCGGAGGACCATTGCTTCAATGCTGGTGGTCTTTGCTTCTTCCAGCACGCTGATGTTTGTCCTCTTGTCTTCCCAAGAGATTTGCAGGATTTTCCGGAGGCAGCGCTGATGGAGTTGCATGTGATGTCTGTAGACAGTCCACGTTTCACAGGCATAGAGCAGGGTTGGGAGCACAATCGCTTTATAGACAAGCACCTTGGTATCCCTATAGATGTCCCAGTCCTCAAACACACTCTGCTTCATTCGGAAAAATGCTGCACTCGCAGAGCTCAGGCAGTGTTGTATTTTGGTGTCGATGTTGACTTTGGTGGAGAGGTGGCTGCCAAGGGAGCGGAAATTTTCTAATGTTACACCATTAAGCTGTATCTCTGGCATTGGAGAGGGGATGGCTGGTGATTGCTGGAACAGCACTTTGGTTTTCCCGATGTTCAGTGACAGGCCGAGCTTCTCGTATGCTTCTGCGAAGGTGTTTAGAGTGGCTTGTAGATCTTCTTCTGAATGTGCACAGATGACGTTGTCATCAGCATACTGGAGTTCTATAACGGATGTTGTTGTAACCTTGGTTTTGCCTTTCAGTCTGCTGAGGTTAAACAGCTTGCCGTCTGTCCAATAGATAATTTCCACTCCGCTGGGAAGCTTCCCATCAACAAGCAGCAGTCAGGGTTGTCATGACAGATGGATGGGAAATTCTGCGATTTGTTGCAGGCCCCATCTACACTTCCATATAAAATCCAAATTATCTGTTTGAACTGGACTATATGAGTGTGTGTGTGTGTGTATACATTCACACACACACACTCACTCATATGAGAGAGCCCCTGGTGGCACAGTGGGTTAAAGTGCTGAGCTGCTGAAATTGCTAACCGAAAGGTCACGGGTTCGAATCCGGCTAGCGGCATGATCTTCCGCTGTTATCCCCAGCTTCTGCCAACCTAGCAGTTCGAAAACATGCAAATGTGAGTAGATCAATAGGTACTGCTTCGGCGGGAAGGTAACAGCGCTCCATGCAGTCACACCAGCCACATGACCTTAGAGATGTCTATGGACAACGCCGGCTCTTTGGCTTAGATATGTAGACATTAGAGCCCCCGGTGGCACAGCAGTTTAAACTGCTGAGCTGCCAGACTTGCTGACTGAAAGGTGTGTGATTAGAATCTGAGGAGTGGGGTGAGCTCCCGCTATTAGCCCCAGCTTCTGCCAACCTAGCAGTTCAAAAACATGCAAATGCCAGTAGATCAATAGGTATCACTCCGGCAGAAAGGTATCAGCTCTCCATGCAGTAATCCCGGCCACATGATCTTGGACGTGTCTAAGGACAATGCGGGCTCTTCAGCTTAGAAATGGAGATGAGCACCACACCCCAGAGTCAGACAATGGGCTTAATGTTAGGGAAAAACTTTTACCTTTACTATATGAGTCTACACTGCCATATAATCGAGTTTAAAGCAGATAATCTGGATTTTATTTAGCAGTGTGAATGGGGCCGTAGCTGCACCCTAGGATAGACTCTCCTATTCTAGGCTATCACTCAGATCCAAAACTTGGGAAAAGTTACTTTGGGGAGCCATAGTTTTTGGAAACTTCCAACTACCATGCCCAATGTAACTATGTTGGCCAAACAATTTGAGGTGTATAGTCCAAAAAAGGGATTTTCCCAAGGTCTGTTTGGAGCCATACAAAAAGTGGGTTTGAAAATCCACCTCTTACTCAGAGCTTTGTATATGTTCAGGATCTGTTCAAATAGACAATGGGATGGAGCCTTCTCCATACCCCCCCCCCCAAATCACATCTTTGTCCCTTCTGTTTTCCATTTACTGCACCAATTTTTCATTTCCCAAATAGTATCCTATATTAGCTCGACCATGGACAGCAATGCGGATTTTTCATCTTGTATCCTGCTCCCTCGGAGAGCTTTTACAAGACTGCGGCTTGTGCCAGTGTGTATTTTCATGGCTAATAGAGTAGCTGTAATGCTGCCAAAACTCTCCATCTCTGTTGCCAAAATATAATGGAGGATATAATTTACTTTAATCAATAGCACCCCTTATGGGGTCTAAAAGAGACAATTCTCATCCTGTTGGTTTAAAGACTTTGAAGGACTCAGATTTGCTACATCCTGGTGATCTTAAATGAATATGTGACCTCTAAAAGGCTAGATTATTTGTTGTTAAAACTGCATAAAATCTTTGAAGCAATGTGTATAAGCAGAACAGTGGCAAAGCTTGGAGTACAGTCCATATAATTGTTATGACAGGCTTCCAAGTTAATACAGATGTGCATCTGTACTGTAGAATTAATGCAGTTTGATAATACTTTAACTGCCATGGCTTAATACTACAAAATCCTAAGTTTTGAAGTTTTAGAAGGTCTTAAGGGGCTGTGGTGATGCAACGGGTTAAACCAGTGGTTCTTCACCTGTGGATCCCCAGATGTTTTGTCCTTCAACTCCCAGGACTCCTGATCTATGCTGATGATCATGCCATCACCACTTAAGCAGGGAGCTTTGCAATAATTGAACAGAAGCTCTCCAAAGCTCTAGGGCAGTGGTTCTCAACCTGTGGGTCCCCAGATGTTTTGTCCTTCAACTCCCAGGACTCCTGATCTATGCTGACAATCATGCCATCARCACTTAAGTAGAGAGCTTTGCAATAGTTGAWCAGAAGCTCTCCAAAGCTCTAGGGCAGTGGTTCTCAACCTGTGGGTCCCCGGATGTTTTGTCCRTCAARTCCCAGGACTCCMGATCTATGCTGARGATCATGCCATCACCACTTAAGRAGYGAGCTTTGKAYTAGTTYAWCAGAAGCTCTCCAAAGCTCTAGGGCAGTGGTTCTCAACCTGTGGGTCCCCAGATGTTTTGTCCTTCAACTCCCAGGAATCCTAACAGCTGGTAAACTGGCTGGGATTTCTGGGAGTTGTAGGCCAAAACACCTGGGGACCCACAGATTGAGAACTCCTGATCTATGCTGACGATCATGCCATCACCACTTAAGCAGGGAGCTTTGCAATAGTTGAACAGAAGCTCTCCAAAGCTCTAGGGCAGTGGTTCTCAGCTTGTGGGTCCCCATGTGTTTTGTCCTTCAACTCCCAGAAATCCTAACAGCTGGTAAACTGGCTGGGATTTCTGGGAGTTGTAGGCCAAAACACCTGGGGACCCACTGGTTGAGAACTCCTGATCTAGAGAGAGAAGGGTGGAATATAAATAAAGTGTGTTGTTGTTGTTGTTGTTGTTGTTGTTGTTGTTGTTGTTGTTATAGAATTAATACATTTAGATACCACTTGAACTGCTACTCGTGAGAGCCGTTCAGCAGTGGAACTCTCTGCCCCGGAGTGTGGTGGAGGCTCCTTCTTTGGAAGCTTTTAAACAGAGGCTGGATGGCCATTGGTCAGGGGTGATTTGAATGCAATATTTCTGCTTCTTGGCAGGGGGTTGGACTGGATGGCCCATAAGGTCTCTTCCAACTCTTTGATTCTATGATTCTATGATTCTATCCTCAATGCTGTGGAGATTTAGGAGTTGTCATTTGATGAGTCATCACAACTCTTTGACAGAGAAGGCCAGCTGACCGTGCTTTCATGTCTGCTACTCCGTAATTGTGTAACTCCTTGTCCTTTTCATACAGTATTGTTGTCTTTCTCTTAGGGCATCTTCCCATCAACATACATCCATTTGAAAGAGGCAACCGTGCAAGATGGCGGGTAAGTAGCTACGATGTTTGGACCCAATGCCTAGATAGGAACACAGTTATTTGCCTTCTGTTAATGGCCAGATCTGGTTTGCAGTACAGTCACAGCCATGCAGAAAGATATCTAACTCTTCTGCTTCAACGTTTTGAAAAAGTATTATCTGGTTTCCCAATCCCATGTATTTATTTATTTATTTATTTATTTGTTACTAGCTGTCCCCTGCCACACATTGCGGTGGCCCAGTCTGTGTATATGTCTTTTGTGTGTATATGTGTATTTATATATTTGTGTATTTATTCGCATGCGTTGCATTTTTTTTTTTTTGCTTTTTAAGTCTCTTTTGCTGTGTTTTTCAGTGTTTTTAGGAGTGATGGTCACTTGTTGGCCTGATAGGTGTACTGTGTCCCAATTTTGTGTCAGTTCACCCAGGGGTTTTTGAGTTATGTTAATCCCACAAACAAACATTACAGACACACACACACATACATTCACACACTAGACATCCCCTGCCATGTGTTGCTGTGGCCCAGTCTGGTGATCTGGAAAATAAAGTAATAAGAAAGTGTTGTATTCTAATATATATATTTTTTTATGCTTGTGGGTTAACGTTTTCTTGCCCTGGTGAAGGGAGTTGGACTGGATGGCCTTAAGTATTTTCTTGGTCATAGGGGTTCTGTGTAGGAAGTTTGCCCCAGTTCTATCGTTCGTGGGGTTCAGCATGCTCTTTGATTGTAGGTGAACTATAAATCTCAGTAACTACAACTCCCAAATGTCAAGGTCTATTTCCCCCAAACTCCATCTGTGTTCCTAGATCAGTACATGGAAGATTCGTGCCAAGTTTGGTCCAGATTCATCATTGTTTGAGTCCACAGTGTACTACAACTCCCAAATGCGACGTCAAACCTCACCAAACCCTTCTAGTATTTTCTGTGGGCCATGGGAGTTGTGTGCACCACGTTTGGTTCAATTCCATCATTAATGGAGTTCAGAATGCACTTCGTTGTTGTAGGTTTTTCCGGGCTATATGGCCATGTTCTGGAGGCAATTTTTCTCCTGACGTTTCGCCTGCATCTATGGCAAGCATCCTCAGAGGTAGTGAGGTCTGTTGGAAGTAGGAAAAATTGGTTTACATATCTGTGGAATGACCAGGGTGAGATAAAGGACTTTTGTTTGCTGGGGCTAGCTGTGAATGTTTCAGCTGATCACCTTGATTAGCATTCAATGGCTTGGAAGCGCCTGTTCATTTTCATGGTTTCTTCCTTTCTGTTGAAATTGTCCACATGCTTGTGGATTTCAATGGCTTCTCTGTGTAGTCTGACATGGTGGTTGTTGGTGTGGTCCAGCATTTCTGTGTTCTCAAATGCTGTGTCCAGGTTGGTTCATCAGGTGCTCTGCTATGGCTGATTTCTCTGGTTGAAGAAACCATGAAAATGAACAAAATCTGGCTACCAGTATTAAAAAAACTCAAAAATTACAACAGCAAAACAACAGAGGGGAAACAAACAGGCACATAAAATCACTCTCAACAAAAGGTTCGCCCCAGGTGCTTCCAAGCCATTGAATGCTAATCAAGGTGATCAGCTGAAACATTCACACCTAGCCCCAGCAGACAAAAGTCCTTTGTCTCACCCTGGTCATTCCACAGATATATAAACCCATTTTTCCTACTTCCAACAGACCTCACTACCTCTGAGGATGCTTGCCATAGATGCAGGCGAAACGTCAGGAGAAAAATTGCCTCCAGAACATGGCCATATAGCCTGGAAAAACCTACAACAACCTAGTGATTCCGGCCATGAAAGCCTTTGACAATACATAGAATGCACTTCATTTGTAAGTTAACTTTAATTCCCAGCAACTATAACTCCCAAATGACAAAATAAAAAAAATGAGTGAAGGACATACATTGGGTTGTTAGGTATATGCTGTCCAAATTTGGTGTCAATTGGCCCACTGGTTTTTGAGTTCTGTTAATCCCACAAACGAACATTACATTTTTATTTATATAGATTTACAATATTTATATTCCACTCTTCTCACCCTGAAGGGGAATCAGAGCAGATCACAGAACACAAATATGACAAACATTAAATGCTATTATAAACTGACAAGACAAACAACTGTACATAGATAGAGGTATATACGAGCTTTTCCATCTTCGGCATCTTGGAGGCTGTGCTCGATTCCGACCACTGGTGGTTGTTGCTCCACTTTTCCTGCCAAAAACTTCCTCCTTGATCGAATCATTGGCATTTTTCTGGCATTTTGTTATGGACACCTTAAATACCTCTCCGCTTAAGCGGTACCTATTTATATACTCACACTTGGGTTTAAAACTGTCAGCCTTTTGGTTGGCAGGATTTACTGCAGCTGGCGGTTAACCTGCTGTGCTAAAGCTCGGTCCAGTGTCAGCCCCATTATGGAATTGCCAGATAGAAAACCAGAGCTGGCTTCTAGATCTTGTAGTTGCTAGGATTTATAGTTCACCTACAATCAAAGAGCATTCTGAACTCCATCAACGATATAATTGGACCAAACTTGGCACACAGAACCCCCATAACCAGGAGAAAATACTGGAAGGGTTTGATGGGCATTGACCTTGAGTTTTGGAGTTGTAGTTCACCTACATCCAGACAGCACTGTGGACTCAAACAATGATGGATCTGGACCAAACTTGGCACAGATACTCAATATGCCCAAATGTGAACACTGGTGGAGTTTGGGGAAAATAGACCTTGACATTTGGGAGTTGTGTTGCTGGGATTTATAGTTCACCTACAATCAAATAGCATTCTGAACCCCACCAACGATAGAATTGGGCCAAAGTTGGCACACAGAACTCCCATGACCAGAAAATACTGGAAGGGTTTGGTGGGCATTGACCTTGAGTTTTGGAGTTGTAGTTCACCTACATCAGAGCACTGTGGCCTCAAACAATGATGGATCTGGACCAAACTTGGCACGGATACTCAATATGCCCAAATGTGAACACTGGTGGAGGTTGGGGGAAATAGATCTTGACATTTGAGATTTGTAGTTGCTGGGATTTATAGTTCACCTACAATCAAAGAGCATTCTGAACCCCACCAACGATAGAATTGGACCAAACTTGGCACACAGAACCCCCATAACCAGGAGAAAATACTGGAAGGGTTTGGTGGGCATTGACCTTGAGTTTTGGAGTTGTAGTTCACCTACATGCAGACAGCACTGTGGACTCAAACAATGATAGATGTGGACCAAACTTGGCACAGATACTCAATATGCCCAAATGTGAACACTGGTGGAGTTTGGGGGAAATAGATCTTGACATTTGAGATTTGTAGTTGCTGGGATTTATAGTTCACCTACAATCACAGAGCATTCTGGACCCCACCAGCAATAGAATTGGACCAAACTTCCCACACAAAACCCCCATAATCAAAGGGAAATACTGTGTTTTCTGATGGTCTTTGTCGACCCCTCTGACACCGTCCTTGTGACCACCCCCCCAGGGGTCCCTACCCCCAGGTTGAGAAATACTCCCTTAATGGTATTGGATCTATCTCTACTTTTTACTATAGCAACCCTATCCACATATGCATACTACTGACACCTTAAATTATCAAAGTACTCATTTGAAACCTTCTTTCTCCTTCTGCAGGCAACACGAAACAGTCATTCCAAATGAGCTCCCTTTGGTGCAGGAACTCACCTCTACGCTATGGGAATGGGCAGTTATTTGGCACAGGCTCTATGTGGTTTGTATGATTATTTGTTTTCAATTTAGTTTTATTTGCGGAGAATCAGCATTCTACCCAGAGTGCAGGAGCAAAAAAACCCCAAAATTTAAAATCACGTGTGAAATTGGTTTGAAGTCATGGCTAAGCTTTGTGGGCCAAACGGTGACATTGCTTACTTTTGACTGCAAAACCTCTCCAACTTCTCCATCACTGCAAAAAAAAATATTTATTTATTTATTTGCAGTATTTATATTCTGCCCTTCTCACCCTGCAGGGGACTCAGGGTGGATTACAATGTACATATTGTAATCGGTTCACAAGACACAGGACACAGCAGAATTCAACACCAATATAAATTTATTTATTTATTTATTTATTTCACAGTTTTGTATACCGAGCTTCTCAACCTCGTTGAGGGACTCAGCCCGGTTTACAGCCATAAAAACATATACATTCATTAAAATATCATATATCACAAATTACAAAACAACTTTAAAAACACTAAATATAAAACTACAGTGGTCAGTCGTCCTAATAAGATGGATCTATATCCACTTCCATCCAGAGTCCTATGGTGTTGTCTCATTCCTCGAAGGCCTGACTCCACAGCCACGTCTTCACCCGTTTCCTAAATGTTAGGATGGATGGGGCGGTTCTGGCCTCCAGAGGGAGAGAGTTCCAGAGTCGCGGGGCCACCACCGAGAAGGCCCTGTCCCCCGCACTTGCGAGGCTGGTGGGACCGAGAGCAGGGCCTCTCCAGATGATCTTAATAATCTTGATGGTTCGTAGGGGAGAATACGTTCGGAGAGGTAAACAGGGCCGGAGTCGTTTAGGGCTTTATAGGTCAACACCAGCACTTTGAATTGTGCTCGGAAGCTAACTGGCAGCCAGTGGAGCTGGCGTAACAGCGGAGTGGTGTGCTCCCTGTACCCAGCCCCCGTTAGTAATCTGGCTGCCGCGCGTTGGACTTGCTGCAGCTTCCGGGCAGTCTTCAAAGGCAACCCCACGTAGAGAGCGTTGCAGTAATCTAAGCGGGATGTAACCAAAGCGTGTACTACCGTGGCCAAGTCAGCCCTCCCAAGGTACGGATGCAGCTGGCGCACAAGTTTTAATAAAACAGTTAATAACCTAATCTAATACACAATTAATACACAATTACTATGATAACCATTCACTAGTGTCTCATCACTAAAAACATGATCCAGATTCGTCATCTATTGTTCCATTCCTATGTCATTACCAATCATTGCACTAAATTATTCGAATGCCTTTATATACATGGCAAACATTCGATGTCATGGACACACAACATATATAGACAGTCAGTCAGAGGCTACTTAACATTCCAGCTTTTCATGAGGGTATTCTGGCCACCAGGGGAGCTGTCGCTTCACCGTTCATTTGTGTCACAGATGAAGTACTTCCTCAATCTTGGCATGCTTGCTGGAGATTTTTATGGCATCATAAATTAGTTAAATTAGGCTCCCTGCGTAGGCAGTATCTAAATTTCCTACTTGACAGATGCAACTGTCTTTCGGGC